TGACATACAAGAACCAGCAATAAGATGGGCATATCACCACTGGATATATACAGTAGCCATTAGGACGTAGGTTTAGCATTTGTTGATTTTTTATTCCATCCCTTAGCTGGTTTGATATTAACTACACCTACCATAAATCCGACAGTTCACCTAGCAAATGTTTGCCGGCTTAGCGATTTCGAACTGGGGCGCCGTCGAAACAAGTTTGGGCATCGCAGTTAAAGAGACCGGTAGCGTGCTGAATTCCGCGGAGGAAAAGATGGATCGGCTGTATAAATGTGCAGTATATATATATAACTGGTTGGTGGTTTGGAACATTTTTTATTTTTCCATATATTGGAAATAATCATCCCAACTGACTAATATTGTTTCAGAGGGGTTGAAACCACCAGACTGATCATCGATATATTATAATGATAGTAATAGCGGTAATAAGAGCTGTAATGATTAATAATATTAATAGTAATCTGTAACAAATAATTTAAAAAAATATGATAGTAATAATAGTAAGAATGAAAAGAATAGCAAGAATAATAATGTAAGTAATGATAGGAGTAATAGTAAGAATATGTAATAATGATCATGGTTGCAATGGTTCACAACCATCCTTGCTCCACTGCAACATGATCCACCCATTGGGAGAAAGGGTGCTTTTTGGGTGGGATGATTTGCATTCAGGAAAACCCCTAGTCTGGCGTGGCAAAGGAAATCCCCGTTCTTGATGGTGTATATATATATATATGATATATAAGTGTGGTGATATTTTTAGAACATAGGTCATGTTCTTTTGTGTGATCGTTATTGTACATTTATTATAATTATCATGATAGACCATTATTATTATCATTATATACCATGATTGTATAACTATGATAACAATTTGGCTATTATCACTATATATTATTACTATTACTATTATTATGATGATTATCATTGTTGTCATCATTATCATCACGATTATTACTAGTATTACTAGTATTACTATTGTTTTTATTACTTTTATTATTGTTATCATTATTATTACGTTATCATTATTATTACAGTATAATATACTAATATATACCACTGACATTATAGTGATTGCTATTGATAATGTCATCGTATAAAGTGTTATATGACTATTATATATGAATATAATATGGTAGTGTTACTTCATGTTACTTCCATATATAATATTATAGTTTCATATTATAGCACGATTGCTATTACTCTATATAATACTACCATAATAGTAGATATTATTATTGCACTATCATACTATTACTCTAATACTATTACTATGGCAATATTATAGCACTATTACTATTACTATTACTCAGTATTACAATATTATGATAACTTTCACTATTCAGTATCATACTATTACAATATTACTGATACTTTCGCTATTACTATCACTATTACAGATCCATATTACAATAGTATGATACTGATTATTGTTATTCAGTATTATTATAGTATATAATCACTATTAGTACTAGTTATACTATTATATAATATTACTATTACAATACTATTATTGTAATAATATCCTTATATAATATTACAATATTATGATACTGCCGTTGCTGTTATTTTTTCAAATTGCTCTCCTAGGCAGCTCCGATGACCGCTCCAGGTGAGCTGCTGAGTATTGATGCCGACATTCCGGAGGCCATGGAAGCCGGATGCCGTGGGAATCACTGGAGATTTGACCAACAGAAATGGGGTAACTTCACCAACAAACCATGGTTTTTTTTCGGGATTTTGGTGGCCGATTTATGGCTAAGTTGGCTTTCTTTGTCTTGCTAAAAACTATGGTAAAAAAGGATAAAAAAGGTGGATATAAGTGTAGTCCATGGGCCATGGGTGCTTGGATTCGCTGAGCCGATGACTTCGGCATTTTCCCAATCGGAAAATCCTCTACGACTGGGGAATCTGTAGGGAACCTTTTTTTGTTTTTGCGGGGCGCCTAAAGCAAATCCAAGATAATGACGGCTGATATATTTTCATATCAATAAGCCGAAGGAAATCTTACGGACCGAAACATAGAATGTTTATTTGTTACGCATATAAATGATAAATATATATATACTGTATTCATTCGTGATAACACATTGGATCGGTCAGTAAGAATAACACGAAAGTTGAGTAGATCACCATGCAATTATAGTCGGTACCGTTCATTTCTTATGACTTATTCCCTGTCCCATAACGTGAAATTCCCTTATATCGGCCCCAGAAATGAATTAACTAGATCAGGGTTCTGCGGGGTATTTCATATTTCGTGGAAGGGATGCATTGTGTTTCAATGTTATCAACTCCAAAATCACATGACTCACATGTTCCACATTTTCCCACTCCAAGCCATAGTTATAGTGACAATCCACCCATTAGCCAGGGATCAATTGATTATATATTCGATTTTACTGGGATCAAATAAGAGTAACCTGGTGAACAGTGAGAATAGAATAGCAGGCGACAGAACCAACAGTAGACAGGACAACAACAGGTTGATTTGCATAAGTTTGTATGCATATGTGTTGCATAGGGGACGGTGTCACTATGCACTCAGTTTGTTGAAATTCACGATTCTAATCATTGCTCTTCAATGATCCTCTTCCAGCCGGTGGGAAAGCCGATGCTTTCAACCTTTACAGCCGTGGACAGCAACTTGATAAAACTTCTGTGGGTAGTTTAATGTAGTGCCCCGGCCACAGTAGAGGTACCCCAAAAGTAGAGGTTTAAGAAACCCCATTCAGAAACTTGGTGACTTGGTGGTTCATCCCACTTATATACTAAGAATAAGAAGGGTTACCCTCTGGTTATTTAACATAGCCATGGAAAATGGCCCATAGAAATAGATGGTTTACCTATTAAAAATTGTGATATTCCATGGTTATGTTAAATAACCAGAGGGTTATATTGTTTGGTGAATCCTGGTTAGTGGGACAAGTAGGGCTGGCCTCCACAGCAAAAAACTGGGGATGAGGCATCCGGCCCTGGCCTTGATTTTTGATTTCCCCTGGCAGTTTTTGCGAAGTTGGTAAAGATATAGCTTGGTGAACTGTTGGGTGTGTGCATGTCTGTGGGGGATATAACCTTATATAACTATTTTAATCATACAACTACTTGGTGGCTCATCCCACTTAGTAAGTGGGTTGTAACCCCAGTTATAAATGGGATTTTTGTAGGGTTAATCCACTTACAATTGGGGTTATAACTCACTTACTAAGTGGGATGAGCCACCAAGTATAGTATTCGTGGGCTTTGTCAATCAACCAACATCGAGGGCTGTAGACACCAGTGATCTCAGTGATCTCAGTGATCTGAGCCATAGCTGGATCAGCTCTGCTTCAGGAGACACGGTTGATGTTCAACACCATCGCTGATTCCATGTTTGCCTTGTGCGCTGGGCTGCTGGGCCCTGGGGGCGCTCGATATTTACCTACGTGTAGCTTAGATATGCTTAGATCATACCTGACATGAAGTTTCATATTTACCTATCATTTGGGGGTGAATAAGCTGTAAGTTTTCAATGTTGGTGTTTTATGGATTAGCGCTTAGCCGCTTAGCGCGTCAAAAGCTCTGCATTACTGTATTTTTCTCCGGAGCCTTCTGCGACATGGGGTGGCCAAATTTTGTTGGACCAAGGAGGTTGTCCCCATTTCAGGCCCATGTTTGAGAGGTTATTCCAAGATATTCCAAGTTCATCATCAATTTTGGTATCCTATGCAGTGACATGTATGTGTTTATCCATCTCTGCCTAACATATAATATGTTTCTATGCCGTTCACCATTTTGGCAGGACATTCGGACATTCCCATGAAATGGCTCTGTCTGAAAATAGGCTACCCCAACCAATTCTATTTCTACAATGTGGGGCCCCCTAGTCATAAGTTGGTTTATAACCCAATCTAACTAGTTCGTTATAACTACCATAAATCCTATAGTTATTGTAGGTATAAACCAACTTAGCTATCTTGGGGGGCCCACTTTCTAATAGGGGAACATGATAACACATCAAAATTGGCCTATTCTCCGACATCCACACACAGACCTCTCTGCAATTGATGGCAAGTGCTCCCTTCCGCAAACTATGGCCCCCCAAATGAATACATCCAACACCAAAACTGGTTGGTGGTTTCAAACATGTTTTATTTTCCATGATATATGGGATAATCCTTCCCATTGACATCCATTGACTAATAGTTTTCAAGATGGTTAAAACCACCAACCAGCAAAAATGTACGAAACCATTGTTCAATCGGGGTATAAAGAGTACTTCGAGGGATGGTGTAGCAATCATCCCTTGATTTTGGTCTTTGTTTTTGGCCGAATTGTTTAAGAAAACAAGGTGGAGCCCCATAGTTATGTTTGTTGATTTAGTTTCTCTCATCTATATAAGTATAGTTATATCTGCCAAAAAAACATACATTGCTTAAGCAAATTAACCAACATTTATATAATCCTCATGTTTGCTAGTGAAAAATCCTTATTTTCCCCTTGGTTGATGATTGTTTCAACCAACTTAGCTATCATTCAGATAAACTACCATAGCTATCAACTATCAAATTCCCTTAACTATCAACTTACTATCAACTTATAGCTATCAAATTAGCTATTTCCAACCCTTAGCTATTTCAACTTTACTTACCATTTGGGGGCCCCTTTTTGTTCCAAGGCTTCGAACATCTACCCTTTACGGCGTCGATTTTCGAATTTAGATCAGATGGAAATCCATCGGTTCCAAAAACGGAATTACCGACCTCGACATGGTTTCTGCTTCATATCATATCTACGTGGTAATGTGTTTTGGTTCATATCATATCATATATCATATCATATCCATCATATATCCATCATATTATCAAATATCATCATATCATAGTTTAACATGAGGTGACATCTACCTAAAAAGCATGTGTGAAACGATTTCAATCGATTTCACCGAAAATGTTTCGATGACTTTTATTGCCGCAACCGCTCAACTGGCTCAACTCACCGCAGCATTTTGGCTCTGAATTTGACAGGAAAATCAGCCGAAGAAGACAATCCAATACTTCGAAGGTCATTTGAAAAGGTTGAAGTTCCTTGGACCGAGGCTAGGTCGGGAAGTCGGCTGTGATGAAGTTTTTTGGGATCATGATCCATCTTGGGAAGATGGAAGAATATGGCCTGGCACGAGTTCTCGCGAAGTTGGCGAAGTTGGTAAAGATTTGCCTTGGTGAACTGTTGGCTTAATGTTAGATGTAACATGATAAAACCATATGAAACCGTATAAAACCATATAAAACCATATAAAACCAAATAAAACCATATAAAACCATATAAAACTGTTGGTTAACATGATAAAACCATCTAAAACCATATTGTATCCATAGACTTTCGCTTTTTAAACACCAACCAGATGATCATGGAGGAGTTGGATGCAGCTGAGGTTTGATACAGATACGCCAGCATGACTGTGATGAATGCAGATGTCTTGAAACTTGGATGGTTTATGACATTGGTAATGGCACCCATGACTGGGAATGATAAACATACCACCGATTTATGGTGAAGACTGGGCAGACTGGGGGATGGTTTATGACATTGTTTTACCAACATTATAAAACTTGATTTCAGACCACACACATCCGCCGGCGAGTTGATTTTGATCGTTTGCATATTGTTTAGTGATTAAAAAATGACATTTATCATCATTTCTCCAGACTAATTGTTTGTTAGTCATTCTCAACCAGTATTAACCATTAATCGCACATTAACTGGTTGGTGGTTTGGAACATTTTTTATTTTCCATACTATATGGAATAATCATTTCCATTGACTAATATTTTTCGAGATGGTTAAAACCACCAATCAATGGATTGGTTTAAGGGAAAACCTACAGGAAACCATAGATTTTCCCATTAAATCTGGGGTTTTCCTGTAAAATTTCCCTTAAACCAATCCATTGAACCAACCAGTTGAAGATACATATTGGTTGTGTTTCTGCTTGGACGGACGCACGACTCTGCGACTCTGACGACTGGGCCGACTGGGATCCTTGGGATCCTTGGACAGGCCTTGGACCTGGGAAAAAAAGCGCTCGGTTTGATCCAACAAAGATCGTGTTTTTAATATATGGTTTAATACTTGGTGGCTCATCCCACGGCTCGTAAGTGGGTTATAACCCCAGTTATAAATGGGATTTTTGTAGGGTTAATCCACTTATAATTGGGGTTATAACTCACTTACTAAGTGGGATGAGCCACCAAGTATGTATCACGGGAATATCATGGGAGTATCACGGGAATATCATGGGATAATATAATATACCCTTTTGTAAACATACAAAAACAATGGAAAGATCCACCATGCTATTAATGAGTAAATCAACGAACTAAATATGGCCATTTTCAATAGCTATGTAGCAGTTTACCAGAGGGTAATATGTTTTAATATGGTTTAATATGTTTTAATGAGATTTCACTCACCCAAAAAGGAGATAATAATGGAATAATATTGAAAACCACATTTTTTTTGGAATGGAGGTCCAAGAACAATATTGTTTGGCTTGTTTATGACTAATATTTCACCAAGGTAAAACGACCCATTAATTCCCACAAGATATCCCTATTGTTGGTTATATCCCATGAAAAATCATTATATCCCTATTGTACACTTTGGTAATCAAACAATGATGAATTTCTATAAAATGCTGGATTTATGATTTGGTAATCAGACAGTTATGTTATGATTTAATGCATAGTGCATGCTGGAAAGTTTATGAATTTTCCTCCCAGTAGATTCGAACTTTCCATTGAAAAACCGCCATTTCGTTGGGCAATTTCCCAGCGGATGACATGGACATCACCATGACCTAGCTGGAAGAGACGGTTGGAAGTGGGTAAAGTAACCACATTGTCGTCCAATTATGGATGGATGAATATTCCCATTTAGGTTAACATACCCTAGTTATATATAATCATATATATATAATATGCTTTATGACATATTCACCACTTAATATTATGAGTTGATGAACCATACAATTATCTAGCTTGATAGTGAAGTACCCAGTTCATAGAAGTTCATAGTATAATATTGCCCAGTTCTTTCACATTCCTGGGTCCCCGCAGCTTACAATTCATGCCCAAGGAAGCAGCGAAAGCGCATCAACAGGAGCTGCCGTTGTGATGGTCATTTCTTCCATAGAACTATGGGTTAACAGCTATGGGTCAACTAGTTATAACCAACTATTGATTAACAACAGGCTTAGTTTACGTACAACTACTGTATGGGTTAATCATCTACAGTTATGGCCCGAAGTACCAATTATAATTGTCACAGTATGTCCCCCCATTTATGGCATAGTATAACTCCATAGAAATAACCATTTGTAATTGGTAAAGGGCTTGAATTGTAGCTATTGAAGTCACAATGTTGAATAGGTGAATCATCTGTTGGGGATACCATGTGGATTTTTTATGGGGCATAATGTACAACCAACTTGATATGAGGTTTGGGTGTGTCTGAAAATGTGGTTTTCTACGTCCAAAATGCCCATTTAGTGATGAATCTGATGAATTTGCGGGTATCCCAATTTTCAGACAGCTCTAAATATCAGCCCAAAATGAGGATCCCATGCTATGCCAGGGTTGAACGGATGCCAGGGGGCATGCCAATCCTATGTAAATTGGAACGGACTTGCCAATCGTGTTTCAACCTTTTCTGGAAAAGTAGTGACTGGATCCATTTTGGATCCCTCATCCACGGGGTTTGTGCTGTCCCAATCCCCGTGGCCTTGCATTTTGGTGATATTCCCAGTGAGAATGGGTGAAATCCATTTTAAATCACCAGTTTTTGTTCTGGCTATCCCCATGGATTTGGGATCTCTTGGCTGATTTTGGATGGTCAAATCAGGTTCAATCCCCTGATTTGTCTGTATAGGAAGCTGACGCAAGCAGCCAACGCCAATGCTTCCGCGGTTCTGAACGTGGTGGCAGAGGTCGATATGGGGTTTTTCTGGGGTCCTGGTTGGGGGATGCATTTTTCAGGGATGCTCGGCCAAATGTAGGTAAAGATTCCTGCACCATGGAGCATATAGGGGATATCCCCTGGTCATTTTGTTGTTTTTTTTTAACAGTTTGCTATGGTATGCTATGGTATGGTCCATTTAGTTCCATGATTTAGCCTCTGGTTATGACTAACATAGCAATGGTATAGATGGCCCATAGAAATAGATGGTTTACCTATTAATAGATATTAATAGCATGGTGATTTTCCATGGCTATGTTAGTCATAACCAATCATAACCAGATGGTACCAATTGAAGATGGTGATTACCAGAGGGATCCTGATGGGATATCATGCGTATGAAACTGATCATAGTGGGGAAGAATGGGTATGGCTGGAGTCACTGCAAAAAATGTACTCGCATATTTAGAATTTTATATGTTGTCTTTGTAGTATTTGAAATGATTTAACCATCTGAAAAGAGGGTTACATAGTTATTGTACATAGTCAAACCTTAGATCTCGATAAATGATACGGACCTCACAAGATGATCCTCCTTGCAAGTGGAGATTTACCCTCTGGTAAACATACAAAAAACTATTGAACACCACTATTTCTAATGGCTAAATCCACTATTTCTATATGTTCAATAGTTATTTTTCACAGTTTACCAGGCCGGGTAACCATCCTAACTTCAGCCAGATATGTTTCGTGGCCGGCACAGATAGATGCCACCAGGATGGTAGTTCGATGATGGTTTTCCCCATCAAAAGTCTAACTTTTTCGGCATCGTATAGATGATATCCTCCATAAGATCTGTTGTTGCTAATTTCTATAGAAGTATAGATTCTATTTTCTATAGTGTTTCTATTGATGATAGTATTCATGTTTATTTGCTCACTTTTCTATTTTCCATGTAGATGATACAGTACAGTGCATTATCAAGCCATCGAATTATCCAACCATCATCAAATACAGATGATAAATCACAGAAGTATAGATGATATAGTCTATCTACTAGGAGATATTCGTGCCTACCATAACTGGTTGGTGGTTTCAAACATTTTTTATTTGCCATAATATATGGGATGTGATCCTTCCCATTTACTTTCATTTTTTTCAAGATGGTTGAAACCACCAACCAGTGAACTATAAAATGGATGTTAATGGGGTTTATTAACCAATAATCCCTACTGACGAACTCATATTTTTCACAGGGCTTCAAACCACCAGCCAGTAATGGTGAACTAATCAGCCATGGTTAAACATATTAGCCATTTAAATACAGTCTATATATGGTTATATAAGCTATATATATATATGGTATATATTAACCTCTGATTGATGTTTTTCACAGGGCTTCTTTTTCACCAACCAATTGATGCACTTGTTGGTCAAATCAACACTTTTATCAGGTATTTCCCTAGTAAAATCACCATTTGATACCCTCTGGTAAACTAACATAACTATGGTAAATCACCATTTTTGATGGGAAAACTCACTATAAATAGCCATTTTAAAAATGGTGATTTTCCATAGCTATGTTAAATTACCAGAGGGTAGCAAACCACCAGCCAGAGAACAAATTACCAGCATGGAGAGCTCCATCCGCAGGAGCTGTCCTTGATGAACGGCGTCAACACAGCCACCGCGCTTCACCGCATCGCGCGCCATTGCGTGGCGAGTCGTATGGGCCAGGGGACCGTTGAAGGAACGAAAACCATAGGATATAGGAACGCCATGGGAAAACCATGGGAAAATGGTGATTTGCCCAAGAAAAACGTGGATTTGAATGGATTTCATGGGAATTATAGCTGATGAAAGATTTAACTAAGTTTAACTAATCACTAATAAACTCGGGTTTGGCCAACAAAAACAGAGATATAATTAATTTCAGTAGACTTTCGTCTGATCAGAATTTTGCCGGAACATCCCCAACGATGGCCAACTTGTCATCATGTTTCCTATTTTTCGATGCCCATTTGGGGATAAAGAATCAACATCTGGGGACGCTGCGTAACATTTCTTAAGACATTGAAGAAAAAGTACGTAACAACAAAAATGGGTTTTGATTCAAACATCATGCATGGAACTATTGGTTTATATACTCAGTTTACTCAGTTTACTCCACATCTTTGGCGATCTGAATTATATTGAAGAATATGAACCTCTCAGCAGCGCATGAAATGAACAAACAAACAACATACCTCCTAGGTTTGGGGTGACTGGTAGATCACCATCCATGATAGTTTAGTAAACTCAATAATAACACAAAAAAACTCCGATTTTGGATGGTTAGAGTGTTCTATCATTTGTTTCAAAGCCATATTTCTGTTGAAATATGGCTTTGAATCTGCCACATGGGATTCTCTGAGAATAGAGTACCCCAAAATTGCTGGTTGATCATTATTTTCTGTCCATTAACATGACCATTTGGCAGTTATATGATACCCTATTTTCAGGTAAACCAATTATAACTGTATGCACGCAGATATTTTTGTTTCTATCCCATTAGATATTCAATTCTGTCCCATGATATGCCCATATATGTCCATAAGCCCTTGGAAATGTAACATAGCAACGTAGGTAAATCACATCAATGGACCAATTTTTTCATTCATTTTCCAGTGCTCATTTTCATAGATTCCCGGAGGATATGCAAGAACTCTTGAATTTCAATTCAATTCGCCCATTTGGTTATGGATCAATACCTATAAATACCATGTTTAGGGGGTTATTCACATCCATAAAATCCCAGCATATCCCAGCTATTTTGATGTTCACCGGGGGTCACCGGGGGTTTTGACCCATCCCCATTGAGAGCTGGCTCTCCAGTGGACCAAGGTGAAGGGCGAAGCCGGGCCCGATGGAGCCGCACCTGAGGCAAAGAAAGAGGCCGGTGATGGCCTGAAACATGGCTGGAATGGGGGTCAAACCATGCCATGACCATTTGAGATTTGGGAAGGTGTTGGACCACCTGTTAAAGTCCCTGATTTTTCTCACCAAAAAAAATGTGTTCTTACATCAAGTTCCCACTTTGTTAGAGCATCCACTTTGTCTTTCTCAAAGAAACTAGTTTCTATTTTGTATCAATAGTCAAACATGTTTTTCTGTGCAGTTGTTAGGAGGCAGGGATTCAGAGCTACAGTCAAAGCCCTTTACCAGTCATTAATGGGGTGACTGACGTACTGACTCATAACCGGTATTTCGTAAAATCGTTCTATCATAACTGGTAGATCCATTGATAGTCCTATATTATATATTATATATGATATATTCCATTAATAGTTCGATCAGATTTATAATTTTACCACTTACACAGCGCCATAACTGTAGGGTTTTCCTACGTTTTCCCCACCCGATTCGTCATGGCCCCAATGTGCCAACCCGGCCGCAGGTTGAGGCGCACCCGGCTTTTGGAGCCCTGCTGCGGACCGTGGAACAACAGGCGGAGGTGCAGGGTCGATGGTCAGCGATGGGACCGTTCCAAATTTCTGGATGTCCTTCAAGGGAACCAGCTGAGTTTCCGAGATTGCTCAGATTTATAGAAAAAATAAGCTAGAACCAGCGATTTTCTGCAGATTGGCCATGATAAAACGAAGGCTCCTGCTGTGGAAACTTCGGTTGCTCCCCTCTTTACCAAGCTGAACCCCAGCTGGCCCCGACAGCACGTCACGGCCGCAGATGTCACTTTTGGCGGACCATGATGTTGCAGAGGAGCGGTGCAGATCTAAGTTGACCAAGTGGGCATGCCTCATCAACCCCCGAAAATCAAAAAAAATCGACCCCGAAAAAAAGTGGATGGCTCAGTCCCAACAGTGATCAATTTGTAGTGAGACTTTAGATGGTACATTTGGTACCCAGAACCAGTCGCAACAGTAGTCGTACCAGAAATCAACCTGCCAAGATGGGTGGACGTAGTCTAGGAATGCCTAGGATATCAAACGTAGCCAATGTGAGAAACTACAGATATGGATATTACCCTCTGGTAATGACTGACAGTTTGCGAACTGGAAGCCATGGCCAATTGAGTTCGATGATTTACCCTCTGGTAAATAAACATAGACCCTGAAAATAACCCATTTTTAATGGAAACTAATCTTCCAAGTCCTATTTGCCAGGGTCTATGTTAAATTACCAGAGGGTACCTATTAAAATTGTGTTTTTCCTTATGTGAAGCCACCAATCTGAGGGACTGGGAAGATGAGCGTTGCAAATGCCAAAATTGGTGCCCCTGGTGCCCGAAACCAACGTTGGTTGAAAAAAGCCCCATTATATAATTGCAGAAGACTAGTTATATATAGTTATATGGTATAGATAAATATAAACAACTAGTTTATATTAGTTAACTAATGGTGTAGATAAATGTTTTACTATAGTTACTATAGTTATATGTTTTTGGTATTATATACTGACATTTAACACTGATATATCATTATCTACCATAAACAACTAGTTCGATATATCTATACCATAAACCATAGAATTCACCTAGCTAGTGCACTTTGCAGCAACTTAGCAATCGTAAACAGGAGCACCACCTTGTAAGCAATCCACCATAGGGCAGTACTCCACTGTTGGTCGGCGAGTGTCTCCATATGTCTCCATTTTCTGGGAGAAATTTGAAGAACTTGCCTGTCGACATGCCCATTTTGCTGCTGATACATTTATGAGTCTCTGTTTCTTAGTCACATCTGAAACGTTTTTTTCAATTGCTTAGATTCCCACGCCTAGCCTTTTTGTTAAATGCTAACCTACGTTTCATTCGCTGCAGGAGATTCTTCCTGCCCAGTGTGTCACTTGTTTTTTGAAGACTCGCGGCCGAGTGCTGCGCCCCTTCCAGTTTTACACATCATAAATTTGGATGAACACAGAATACATCATGATAATTATCATGGATTTACTGCAGTTCATGATTCATGGTTTAACACCAGTAACATGAAGCCATGTTCACTAAACACTATTACCCATGACGGATCCATGGTGCTGCTATATATGGTGTGCCATGGATCCCATCAACAAAAACCCCAGTCATGTTAGCATTTTTTGTACCAGCACCAGCCGGATCCGTCATGGGTTACTAAATCCCATAATACATTTATTGATCTCAATGGTTCAGGATATTCATGGGACAAGAATTGAAGAATCGTGGGACAAACAAATCAATTTTTTTTTGTGGGGAGAATGCGTTATCACAGGGATTCAACGTTGGATGTTGACTAGTTGAATCTTTAATGATAGATCCAACATCCAACATTTGGATTATGTTGGATTTGTTCAGAGTAATTGGGTTTATGGTGGATGTTGATAGCCTCCAAACAAATGAGGGGATCTAACATTAATGGAGGGTATCAATAGAATCTTTATGCTTGTTTGTTAAGGGGAGAACCGATGAATTGAGTCAATAAAGTTAAAGAGTCACTAATCAATCCTGCTCAAGAACTTTATCAGTGGATTTTTCTTGAGGGGAGATGTTGACGGTAACCACAGGTTTTACATGTTTATACCACCCAAATACAGGGTTTCAGCTTAGTGCACTGAATCTATTCTGGTGATAGTGATCACCCAGCACGTGGGTCAGAACCGAATCCATGATGGATGTTCGAGTTTTTAAAAGCGGTACAAGGCACCACTCTAACAGGAAGTATGCTTGAAATACCCATATGTCGGGGACATGGCTTGAAACATTTGCAGCTAAGACATGACCGCGCACTCAACCTGCAACTCATTATTCAAAGCCATTTTAGTGAAGTCTTCCATGTATATATATCTATATACATTACCTGGTGGCGCATCCCGCTTAGTAAGTAGGTTAGTTCACCTTAGTTGCAAGTAGATTGACCCTACTTATCCCACTTATAACCAGGGATATAATCTACTTAGTAAGTGGGATGAGCCACCAAGTGGATATCCATATATCTGGGTAAATTATAACGACCTCACTGTTCTCCCTCACTGGAATGATGGTGAACATGGGAGCAACTATCCCAAAATAGCCGAACCTTTCAGGTCAGTGAATTATTGTAATTTAGCGAGATATGTTATATTTGCAGTATTATAATGTATTATACATTATACATAATTATATATATATTATATATATAATATATTATAATCTGAGTTTTCAGGCGGAAAACAAATCCATCTGCAATGGTCATGGATCACCCTTTTTTCGGGGCAGCCGTGGTGGTTTTGGTCGCTGTGGCGCCCAGCGGGCCCAGCACCCAGGCAAGCATCATCGCATGGCAGGGGATCCCAGCCCAGGGATCAGCAAGTTTCATGGGTAAATCAACGATTTCAAAATGGCCATCTATATATACAATAGCTACAATGTGAGGCCCCCCAGTTATAAGTTGGTTTATAAGCCCCAGCAACTATGGTATACTATAGTTATAAATACCATAAACCATAGTGACATTGGACTTATAAACCAACTTAGCTATCTTGGGGGCCTCACATTGTATGTTACGAAACTGTAGGAACTATAGGAAGTACCCTCTGGTAAACTGTCACATAACTATGGAACATCACCATGTTTCATGGGAAAATCCACTATAAATCACCATTTTCAATAGCTATGTAACAAATTACTAGAGGATACTAAGTAGATTGTATCCCTGGTTATAAGCTAGTGGGATTTTTGTAGGGTCAATCTACTTACAAATAGGGTGAACTAAGCTACCTACAAAAACGATCCGTGAGTTGAGCCAGCAAGTACCCTATGGTAATTTAACAAGGGTTTATAATTCCAATAACAAGGGTTTATAACATACCATATTACCATGGGATAAACCAGTTATAACTGGTTTAATATGGTTTATATCATATACTGGTTAATTTGTGAATGGGATTTTTTGAATGGAACATAGTACTTAATACCACGGAATTTATATATATATATTTACCTAATATAAATCAACCATGGTTTATTTAAGTCCCATGGTAGAAATTTCCAGTATATCTATCTTCCATGGGATTTGTTTTCATCAACTTCTACCATCCGAAGATGTACCCTGTCGCTCCATGGTGATTTTCAATCCAGTTCGCTATGTGAAAATATAGCTGGAGGCGTCATCATAAGGTAATATCATCCATCAACTCTAGATATTTCTTGCATAAACCATAGTTCTTGGAGTTTTTTTGAAGACTCAACTTACTGACATGACAAATCAACTATGAATCCCAATTGTTAGCAGATTTTTGTTGATTAAGCTTAACCACGCGGTCTCTGGTCTTGTAGGTCTCTGGTCAAATCCCAATTTTCTTAAGTTGATTTCTCATATTTTTGCGGTGAAACCCAATACAGTAATTGTTTCCCATGACCTCCCCAAAGAAAAATCCCCAACGGTGAAATCGCCATGTGGGTTTCAAACATATTCATCGTTTCAACACTACAAAAGGGATGATTGGTTGAGATAGCTGATATTTTTGAATATGAGATGAGTTGAGATAGTTGATTGGTTGAGATTGATGAGTTGAAATTCAAGTTGACATGTTTTGTACAAAATCACCAACGAGCCATGTTTTTGCCTATTTTTTTCATGCTTTCAGCAGGTCCTTGGCCTGCTTGGACGTCCACAACGATCGGCTCATGGTCATCTTGGCCACGTTGGCACAGCCTCGACTGCACGAGTTCAAGTTTTACGAGGCGTGGACGGCGTTGATGGACTTGATGGAGATCGGATCAGGTGAAAGATGTGAAAAAAACCATGGGGATTGAAGCATTGGGGAGTTACCCGGCCTGGTAAACTTACAAAAAACTGGGATTTTATGGTGGTTTACTGGGATCTAATGGGATTTACCCTCTGGTAAACTAACATAATTATGGAAATATCCACCATTTTAAATGGGTAAATCCACTATTTCGACTGGGCCATCTATTCAATAGCAAACTGTAACAGTCATTACCAGAGGGTAACATGTTTTAAACATGAAGTGAAAAACATATCAGTAAACATGTAGATGGAACCTTTAAACACGTGAAACACATAGTATGTTTTTCCCATTAAAAATGGTGATTTTCCAGTTAGCTATGTTAGTTTACCAGAGGGTAAAATCAACTTAAAACATCGGGACTTAATCAGAAACAGTGGATGACTGAGGGAATTGACCTAATCGAAGCTGCAGGGCATCAGGGATTGGCCCGGTGATGGATTGCTTTTTTTTTTAATGGGGTGTACCGGTATACCTTCACTTTCAATGGATTAGAATGGATATTGTAATTGCTTGGTGGCGAACTACCCACGAATCTTAAGAAGGGTCAATCCACATGAAAAGGGTGAACTGTCTTACGATCCGTGGGCTGTTTCGGTTTATGACCGATATTTCACCGTCAAATATCCCATGATATAAATCCCTATTGTTGTTGGTCATATCAGTTAAATCATGTTAAATCCCTATTTTTTCCATCCAAAAACATCCAAAAACAACCATCAAATCAGACAAGATCAGATAAATCAAGATAAATCAACAATGAATCCCCATTGTTCTAGTAGTTAACTCCATGAACCATGAACTCCCCATGTTCCAAGGGGTTTTTTGTGGATGGGTTTGTGGATGGAGCCCTAGGTGACCAATATGCTTTGGGCCTATGCCAAGCTCCGAGCTGTAGGTGGCGGAGAGATTTCTGCAGCGATTTTTCACGACTAAAAAAACATGGTGGTTTTTCATGAGATTTTTCCAACAAACTTTTTGTGTGTACTGAACCTTTTTTTTTTGAATATGGTGCTTTAATACGGTTTAATGGGATTCATCGAAGAAACATGGTGGTTTAATGAGATTTAACTAGACAACATTGAGATAAACATGGAATCATGATGGAAAATATGGAGGTTTAACCAACAACAATAGGGATTGTATGGGATTGTGTATAGGTGATTTGTTATTGGGAAAATGGAATTAATGGACCTGGAATAATACAGGGATTTACCGTACTCTCTGGTAATCAAACCTGGAAAATATCATAAATAGAAGTTTTCATGGGAAAATCCACTATCAATGGGATATGTTTCCAGCCCAGGTTTGATTACCGGAGGCTACTCGTAGCCATTTGGTGTGGATTGAACCGATTGACAGATCCTGGGATATTCATGGCACGATATTCAAGGGATGTGACGACTGGGAATATCATGGGAATATGTAACATCCAATGTAACATCCATTACTCCACGGATCTATATGGGAATATATGGGAATAGAACTAGGTCTAGATAGATATAGTATGATATAGTCCCATTATATTCCCATTATGTTCCCATTACATTCCCATTATAGTATGTAATTCTGGTACAGCCATTCTATGTGGGAATATATGGGAATATATGGGAATATATGGGAATAGAACTAGGGATAGATAGATATAGTATGAGATAGATAGTCCCATTATAACATCCAATGTAACATCCATTACTATATTGTCCCATTGTAGAAAGTCCCATTATATTCCCATTACATTCCCACTATAGATATTCCCATTTCTAATGGGATGCAATGCTGGTACAGCCATTCTATAGGGGAATATGTGGGAATAGAACTAGGGATAGATAGATATTATAGTATGATATAGTCCCATTATAACATCCAATGTAACATCCATTACTATATTATCCCATTATAGATATTCCCATAGTCCCATTATAGATACCCTCTGGTAAACTAACATAGCTATGGAAAATCACCATCGTTAATAGGAGTTTCAACTATAAAAGGAACATTTTCAATAGCTATGTTAAATTACCAGAGGGTAGTCCCATTATATTCTCGTTACATTCCCATTAGGGCAACCAAGAAAACCTGATTTGCTTGTGCTCCTCCAGTGTTTTTTCAGCAAGGAAACCCTTTTTTCTGGCTGTTACAGGCATTGGGTGGCACTCAAGATATTCCCATTTCTAGGATATAGTCCCATTATATTCCCATTATGTTCCCATTACATTCTCATTATAGACATAGATATTCCCATTTCTAGGATGTAATGCTGGTAAACCCAATGCCATGAACATCCAATGGATCCTGCAGGCCTGGCGCCTCAACTGATCTCCACGATCGCCCAGCGCCTACAGCAGCGCCGCCCAGGGGAATACAAGGCCGCACAGCGGAAGGGCTGCCCCAAGGGATCCCAAAAACGGAGGACGGAGGATTTGAAGATGGAGGTTTTAGGGACTTTTCCTGCATTGTTGATGATTTTTCCAGATTTTCGATGATTTTCGACGATTTTGCTGTGTTTTGTTCGTTTTTTCTGAGAGAATTCTATGGAAAAAAGAGGAGTTAACCATGAGTTCACGAGGTTTTTTGCACTGAACATCGGGGGATTTTGGGCATTGGATTTTTTTTGTGATCCCCTCTGCGGGGTGACGGCGGCGGGGTGTGGGCTTTTCTATTGGGATGAATTCTTCAAGTGTTTGATGACCTTAAACAGCTGGTTTGTGTTTCCGGAGTTTTTGAGTGTTTCACTGCAGCATGACCCATTGACCCCGTGTGTGACTTCGTATCACTGTCCCTTTAACCCACATTTTCGCTGGTCTAAACGTGTGTTTCAAACAAAGATCAACCGTTGGTTTGAATCATGTTCAATATTGATTATATACTTAACCAATGAATCATTTACAACGGTTTCCATTCAACACGGTTAAGCATTGATATTTTCCAATTGTCATAGAAACAATTGTTGCACATGTATCATTATTAACCATTCAGCACAATTTATATTATTGGTTAACGTGTCTTTAGAAAATAACACACATATATATATTAATTAGAATTGGGGATTATACCATTCATCATAAAATATATTTAGAAAAATAAACAGAAACATGACTTTGTCTGAAGATAAGGTATATCCCCAATTCTAATGGATCATAAATCATGAGTTTGTCCGTATCAATATTAGGGTTTGTCTGACAATACCCACGCTTCAATGGTGAATCCCCATGTTTCTTGTTAAAATGTTATTTTTGGATATGTTTGGTGTATTTTTGTTTTTTTTTTTCCACATTTTCAGACACACCTAAGTACCATATATACCATATCAAGTTGGTCACAAATTCCATTATTCCCCATTATATATATATATATCCACATCACATCCCCATTTACGGATGATTCACCTTAAAAACTGGTGATTTTCAATAGCTACAGCTAACGCCGTTTACCCATTATGAATGTTTATTTCTGTGGTGTTATCATAAACCATAGATGGGGTGACTTTATTCCATTTTCAGACCCACCCATGTAGCTAGTTGGGGCGGTCTCTTCCATTTTTAGATGGTTAAATCCACTATAATCGCCATCGTTGATGGTTAAATTCGCAATCATCACCATCTTTGATAGTTTTTCATCGTCTTATAATCAATTTTATATGAATCATATCAAGTCAAGTTGGTTATAAATCTATATATATATATATATACATATGTATAAATGTATCTATATATGTATACATATATGTATGTATGTATGTATGTATATATTTACATAATACCATTTTGGATGGCGTTTGATACTTAATTCCATATTTAGATATCCATTTTATGATCGTTCCCCATCCTTTGGTCCTTCTTTGCCAGCCACCCGACAGGCACATTGCCTCTCCTTGGCGGTATGGGCCTTTGCGGAGGTGGGAAAACGATCGGGGGAAATGGATGACACATGCAATTTTTCATTGGAAAATAGATGAAACATGCAATTTTTCATTGGAAAATAGATGAAACATGACATGTTTCACTGGAAAATAGATGGAACATGACATGTTTCATTGGAAAATGGATGATTTTATGCAATTTTTCATTGGAACATAGATGAAACATGCAATTTTAGTCGGAAAACATCTGAAAAAACATTGGAAACTAATGGAAACTATATGAAAAAGATCAATTGGAAAATGTGGCTGGAATCCTCCAAGTTATTATATGGCCATTTAAAGGACACCATCATGGCTTTGAGATATGAAAATTACCATCGGGATTGGCTTGGCTTGATCATTTCAGTGGGTTTCCAGAACTAGGGGTACCCCAATAGCTCGCTGGATGCTTTATTTCATGGAAATCCATCTAGAAATGATGAACTGATATTCAAATGATATGGATGACTTGTCGGACACCACAAAATTCCTCTGTTTCAGATGTATTTCTTAGCCATGCTACCTGGACCGATCCAGGTGTCAGACATTCATTCCACATGAATTTTATTTTTCTATATATTGGGAATAATATTATTTCCTACTGACTTTCTGTATACCACCAACCACTTCATTTTGTTGGTCAAATCAACTCTAAATCAGGTCTTTCCCTAGGAAAATCACCATGTTTGAGAGTTCAATTTGGTCAAATCCACCATTTTAAGCATAGTTCAATCCACTATAATCACCAATTTTAATGGTTCAATCTAAAAAAACAATTTTTGATGGTGTTTGATAGTTAACATCCATTTTGATCACCAATTTTCATGGTTTTTGATAGTTGTTGATAGTTTTTGATCCCACTCTCATCCACTATTAAATCAGCAGTTTTGATGCATGGTTTTTCACCTTTTATCATCCACATCAAAATCACTACCCTCTGGTAAACGTTTCACATAGCGAACTGGAAAGATCCACCATTTCCAATGGGTAAATCCACTATTTCTATGGTCATTTTAACTAACATAGCTATGGAAAATCACCATTTCCAATGGGTAAATCCACGAACTAAATGGTCATTTTCAATAGCTATGTTAGTTTACCAGAGGGTAGTCCCATTATATTCTCATTACATTCCACCATTTCAGCAGGGTGTCCTGCTGTCCGAAAGTTCCGAAACGACCGAAACGCTGGCGAGGCCCACTGGCCCGATGAGGCGCTGATGTCCTCGCTGGCAGAGGAGCTGGCAAAGCAGGCAGAGTGACCGTTCTGTTCATGCTATGACAGTTCATTAATATGGTTATATATGGCATATGGTTATATAATATATGATTAATTATATATGATTAGTTATATATGGTTATATATGGTTATATATTGTTATATATGGTTATATAGGATTTTTTATGGTTATATATGGTTATATATGATTAATTATATATGATTAGTTTTATATGATTATATATGGTTATATATGTTATATATGGTTACATATGGTTATATATGGTTATATCATCATTTCTCCAGATTAATGGGTTAGTAGTTATTAGACATTAGACAAACCAGTATTACCATGGCTCATCTGGCTGGTGGTTTGGAACATGAATTATATTGTTCCACATATTGGGAAGCCACCAGCCAGTAATGTTTGGAACATTTTATATTGTTCCATATATTTGGAACATTTTATATTGCTATATTGTTTCTTGAACATTAATAAATCCCAACTGATTTTCATATGTTTCAAGGTGGTTAAAGCCACCAACCAGTAATGGTGAACTAATCAGCCATGGTGAACAAAAACTATATTTAAATCACTTGTATTTTTTTTTAGAAGTATTGAGCTATGCATAACTGATCTTTTCATATGGGTATTTTAATAGTGAAGTACATGGATTTAAATGGCTTTTACATAGTTAATGATGTTAATGAGGTTTATATTAAGTGGATTTAAATGGTTAAGTTAATGGTATATGGAGGTACATGGTTAATATTTGTACATGGTGAACTAATTAGCAATGGTTAACTATATTTAAATTACTGGTGTATATATATATATGTGTATATGTTGTGAAATAACTGGAGTCAACTATGGTATGTTGGTAATATGGTTAATATATATATATACCATATATACTGTTGTTATATTAACATAATACATAGTATACAATATATTCACTCATATAATATACATATGGCTATGGTCTATGGTTAATAAATGGTATCATACATATTTATGAAATATTCTATAAACACTTCACACCAATAAATTATATATGGTAGTTGCTGGTTGATATATCAATAATAACAATAATAATACTAATAATAGTATATAACAATGATAATGAAACACTGTGTGGTGACTCATGGTAGCTACGTGGTGGCTTATTAATATGTATATGGCTATATATGGTTATATGGTTATATATGCTTATATATATGGTTATATAATCTATATGGTGTGAATGCATTTGATATCTATAAACCATAAACCCATACCAGGGGGTGCAGTTCCAGTTGTGGAAGTGGATATTTTGCCACAGTCACAGGGGTTATATCCCAACTTCTGGAGGTTATCACCATAGTACCTACAAAGATGACCTCAACTGTAGTTTTTTTTGTTTTTCTTCAGGGATTGAACATGCTTTGCATCAGAACACAATTCATTTCTAGATTTTTTTTTCAGGGATATCTTCCCATCAGATTCTATATTATATTCCCATGGATATCTATAGATTCTGAATCAGACATTGGATTTTTAGGACATCTTTGGGCTTTCGGATCTTTGTCACTGGCGGCATCCCCCGGTGAAGATCACGGTGGCTGGCACTTTATGTATCTGTCGAAAATCGTGGCATTCAGATTGTGTCGCACAGTCATATATATATATACATATATATGATATAACAATATATAACAATATATAACAATATATAACAATATATAACAATATATAACCATATATAACCATATATAACCATATATAACCATATATAACCATATATAACCATATATAACAATATATAACCATATATAACCATGGTTATATATGGTTATATATGGTTATGTATGGTTATATATGAGTGCCACATGTTTGCTGGTCTATCCCCATCTTTCCCAATATTGCTGGTGACAAACACTCATTCTTGGTCTGTTGATCTCAACAATTAACAAGGCCCAGGTCCCAAGCGGGCGTGAATAAAAATGGAGCCATGCCCATATCTACCATCTTGTTGCTGAAATCACATGGAGCATCCTCGTTTTTGCTTGGTGATGATCTCATTTTCGATTCATACAATGTGGGGCCCCCTAGTTATAAGTTGGTTTATAACCCAATCTAACTATAGTTATAACTACCATAAATCCTAGTTATTGTAGGTATAAACCAACTTAGCTATCTTGGGGGCCCCACTTTGTAGAAGATTTGACCCGAGTTGCAAGAACCAAAGGCTAAAATATGACTCCAGTCGCCCATACTGCTTTTCTTCAGCCAGATGCCATCTCATGACGGTATCCTCAAAGGATGTATAAACAGATCCATTGGCAAAACCGGTCCCAACTCTTTATCGTCAAACCCCATCGCTTTTTCTCAAAAGACACCAGTTGAACTTCGCAAGCATCTGTTAGGCCGAGTCCTTACAACCGCAAGAGATTTGCAATATTTGTTGCTGGGCGTCATGTCGGTTATTTGGTAAATGCAAAAACCTCCATTTTTAATAGGGAAATCATCTGTAAATGGAACATTTTCCATGACCATGTCAGTGTACTGGAGGGTATGGGTTAGATATGCTCTATGGTGACAACTAGCAAAGATTCATGGGGTTTATAAAGGATTTATCATGACTTATCTGATTTATGGTAGCTAAGCTGGCTTCTAACAAGTACATCGACTTTATCCATAGCTGGAAAAATGGGAAAACATCTTTGGTAAATGCCTGCAATAAGTACTTGGTGGCTCATCCCACTTACTAACTAGATTATATCCCTGGTTTTGTTAATGGGATTTTTGTAGGGTTCATCTACAACTAGGCTGAACTAACATCCCCTTGCGATCCGTGGCTGGTTCGCCACCAAGTAGAAGCTTAAGATTGCATCGTGGCTTTGGGGTTGAATGTGGACCAAGTTTGGCGATAGGGCTCCACTGCCCCTAAAGTTTGGCCGTCTCATGGCCATTGAAGTTTCATTAGGCCACTGCAAATTGACCATTTTGACACTGACACTCTCTGGTTGGTGGTTTGGAACATGAATTATATTTTTCCATATATTGGGAAGAATAATACCAACTGACTTTCATATTTTTCAGAGAGGTACAATGTGGGGCCCCCTAGTTATAAGTTGGTTTATAACCCAATCTAACTATAGTTATAACTACCATAAATCCTAGTTATTGTAGGTATAAACCAACTTAGCTATCTTGGGGGCCCCACTTTGTAGGTATACCACCAACCAGCTGTCAGTTTTCAATAAAAAATAAGCTTCGGTGGTATCCCCAACAGCCGCAACGTTTTATTTTTACATTTTTTTTTCTGCAACCTTCTCTGGAACCTTCTCTGGAACCCGTTGAACTTGACCTGGCCCTGCACCAAAGATTCCAGAACCTGACTTGCCTTTGCACCAAGGCTTGCTGGAACCTTCTCCGGAACCTTCTCCGGAACCCTGTTGAACCTGACCTGGCTCTGCACCAAAGCCTCCGGAACCTTCCCCGGAACTGGCTCTGCACCAAAGCCTCCCAGGCTTCTCCGGAACCTTCTCCCGAACCCGGCCCTTTTGAACCTGACCCGGCTCTGCACCACCACACCTTCTCTGGGAACCTTCTCCGAACCTGACCCGGCTCTGCACCAAAGCCTCCCTTCTCCGGATGCCTTCTCCAGAACCCTGCTGAACCTGACTTGGCTCTGCACCAAAGCCTCCCAGACCTTCTCCGGAACCTTCTCCGGAACCCTGCTGAACCTGACCTTGCTCTGCACCAAAGCCTCCCAGACCTGGAACCTTCTCGGGAACCTCGTTGAACCTGACCCGGCGCCTGCACCAGTGCACACCGGAGCTATTCTGGGCTGAAGACCCCATTAGCATACGCTGTTGGGGAAAAAGGCTTGGTTCAGGCCGTTTTTCGGACAGTCCAGTAGCACCTCGATAATCTTTGGGTCTGGTTGGTGGTTTCAAACATGAATTTTATTTTTCATTTCATATATGGGATAATCATATTATCATATTGTGTGACCATGACTATGCCACTATATATGGGATGTCATCCTTCCCATTGACGAACTCCATCATTTTTCAGAGGGGTAGGTCAACCACCACCCAGTATATAATCTCAATATAATCCAAAAAAAATCTCCACATAATCACCATATAGTCCCATTATAAAATATTTCAAAGATGGTTAAAACGCACCACCAGCCAATTTTAGTTGACCGCTTGGGGATGGATCAGTGGGTGGTTTCACCAAGAACAGTTCAGTATTGAAGCCATGGCCCATAAGAAATTTCGATGTACCGAACTTAAAGAATGTTTGTGGGTTTATAACACCATCTAACTAGTTTGTGATGAGATTTGCCTATTATAAATGATGATTTTTCAGGTCGCAAACTGTTCGTTTACCAGTATGATGACCAACGGGGGCTGTTGAGTTTTTGACCATTGCCGCATTGCCAAGTCGGCCACTTTTGTAAGGACGGTGCAACCAGCACTGATGCTGGTAATTTTGTTTGTGAAATGATTGATTATCGCGATCCGAAATAGGTTGTTTTCACCTTCCAGGCGCAGACTTCTATGATTTGTGTATATATATATGTATGGCAGTCCATACCTCGCTCCATATATATAGAATGAACCTGAATGATTTTATACTCTAGCTTTGTCACATCCAAAAGATCTCACCCTCAGCACTTCAGATGGTCGCTGCGTCTCTCGCTGCATCACTTTCCCAGACTTTGTCCACTGATCTTCTGCTGAACAGTATTTGGCAACCCAGTTCTTTGCTTCTCACTTCAAACTTTCAAACTTCTATAATTCATGTAAGTTCTATAGTTGATGGCTAAGTCCCATAATCAATTCTATAATTAGATGTACTACTAAATCTCATAAATAAAAAACAATATCAATTCCTATAGAGTTGATAACTAAATCCCAAATTAACAGCTGATGGTATATTAATGGTATTTTGGTGAACTAACCAGCCATCAACAGTTCATAATTTCCCATTAATTTCCCATTTCCCATCAACAGTTCATAATTTCCCACTAATCAGCCATGGTATATTAATGGTACAACGTGAGGCCCCCAAGATAGCTAAGTTGGTTTATAAGTCCAATAACTATGGTTTATGGTATTTATAACTATAGTTACTGGGGCGAATCTAAACCAACAAACATCACTGGGGGGCCTCACATTGTAGTTTAAATTCCATTCAAAACATCCCAAATCAACAGCTTTCGTGACACCCGAGGTTGGGCCTTGGCGGGACGGGTGCAAAGCCGTGCAGCGCTCCACGAAACGGTGTACTGCGCGTTGATGCAAGGCCGATGTCGTCGTTAAACAGGTTCGGTCCGTTCGTTCCCCAACGCCACGATGTAAATCCTAAGGTTCTACCAAAAATGGATCCTGGTTGAAGTTTCAACTATAAAACTAGTGGACTTGGGTCCTCTGTAAAATAGATTTTTCAATGGTTCTTACAGTCCCCAAATACCACCCCCAATAAAAATGGTGGTTAATAGTTGATTTATTGGCAAAAGAATTGGCTAGAGGGGCCTTCTCAAAAAAACATGGCCAAACAAGTGTTACCCTAAAGGTCTGTATATCATGTTCTCTAATGTAATCCCCCATGCTGGTCCCCTAAACCCATCCCATGTCCCAGCCCCGTGTCCCCAAGTGTTACCCTACAGGTCTATAGATCATGGTCTCTAATGTAATCCACCATGCTGGTCCCCTAAACCCACCCCATGTCCCAGCCCCGTGTCCCCAAGTGTTACCCTAAAGGTCTATAGATCATGGTCTCTAATGTAATCCACCATGCTGGTCCCCTAAACCCACCCCATGTCCCAGCCCCGTGTCCCCAAGTGCTACCCTAAAGGTCTGTATCTGTATTTCATGTTCTCTAATGTAATCCTGAATGCTGGTCCACTAAACCGACCCCATGTCCCAGCTCCGTGTCCCCAAGTGTTACCCTAAAGGTCTGTATCCAATGGAGTTAGCCCTGAAGGTTGAAGTCCACATCTCAAAATGTCGTCCTAAGTGAGTGAAAAAGTCGTCCTCAGTGAGCCTTTGACCAAGTCGGAAGGTCGTTCGGACGAATATTGGGCAATGCCCCTTGTTTTGGTGGCTTCATTCTGTGTAGCTGAATCAGCATTTTTTACAGAGGTTTACACTGTATCAATGAAATCTTGTTGTTGCCCATGTTTCTTCTATGTTCTTGTTACTCAAATCAAATCCCACTTGTTTCTGTTTGAAATCCATGTTATTTCGCTTGGACAAAGCCACTTTTGTGGTGTGTCAAACCAGTCAATATATTAATATCAGCTACCCTCTGGTAAACTGTTACATAACTATGGAAATTCACAAGTTTTAATTGGCAAATCCACTAATTACAAATGGGCCATTTTCAATAGCTATGTTTGTTTACTGTCCAAATACTTTGAATCTCCAAAGTCCCTACACCGACGTTGCCAGGTGATGTCTTAAGGCGGTGTAAGGCTGAAGAGTAGCTCGACATGGCTGTGATGTGCTGTGATATATTGGGGATTTTTGGGGTGTATAGTTTCCTCTGGTTGGTGGTTTGGAACATGAATTTTATGACTTCCCCAAGAGTTGGGATGGTGATCCAATCTGACGAACTCATATTTTTCAAAGGGGTAGGCTCAACCACCAACCTGGTCTATAATTTACTGTAAACTAACGTATATAGCTATGAATATCCATCACATGGTGGATTTTCCATTGTTCTGCGAAGGCAAACCGTGCCCTTTGGAAATTTCTTCCAGTTTGCTGTAGAAAATATGACCAGTGTTGATAGGTCAATCATCTATAAATGGGCCATGTTTCATAGCTAAAGTTACCAGATGGATCCCGAAGGTAGTGGTATGGGAGATGAATTGGATTTTAATTGGAAGATTCATGGGGCAACCAACATCAACCTGTTTCGAAATGGGGTACGTCAGATGGCTATTGAAAAATGATGACCTTGTTGACCTTGTTGGTGAGTTGTTTTTATTGATCCAGAGCGGAAGACAATAGGATCTTGGTGATGGTATAAAACCAAAGATTTCATGGGGATATGATTGGATATGAAATCGATGGGATTTGATGGGATATGATTTCGTGGGATATGATAGGACATTTTTCTTTTGCCCCCTATTTGATGAATAGAGATAATAGAGGAGTCCCCCAATGTTTCACACCAATATGTACCCTCTGGTTATTTAACATAGCCATGGAAAATGGCCCATAGAAATAGATGGTTTACTTATTGAAAATGGTGGATCTTTCCATGGCTATGTCAGTCATAATCAGATGGTAAATGATGACACATGGTCCTCACATGGTAGATCAATGGTATGGCCCAAACTTTCCGCACAATTTCCGGTTGAGATGCACGGATCATGGGGATGTGGAATGCCAATGTGATATTTGTTCAGAACCAGGATATATGGTGATTTTATGGTGGTTTAATGGGATTTCATGGGATTTTATGGTGGTTTACTGGGATCTAATGGGGTTTACCCTCTGGTAAACTGTTACATAACTATGGAAAATCACCATTTTTAATGGGAAAACTCACTATACATTGCCATTTTCCATAGCTATGTTAAATTACCAAGTTTCACCAGTGTAACCTTGAAATCATCAAATACAGCAGTCCAACCAACAAAACTGCTGATATGACCTATAGCTAAAGAAGCGGGATTGTTTGAAAACCATGTTTTTCTACGCTCTGGTCATTTTTCACAGCCATGGTTTAAATGACCATTGTAGATGACCGGTCAGGAACATGGTCATTTTCCATGGTGTTAGATGAACAGAGGGTATTCCAAAAGGGATATATGTATAACATAGAAATCCATATATGAAGAAAGCAGTTCTGATATGATGCCTTGTGAAATCTAACAGACCGGCATCGTATCAGCTTTGGACTTCCTCGGGTTCAGGGAGGGTCTGAGAGCCCGGTAGACCTGGCCCCTTTACCCGCAACGGTGTCCTCAAAGGTGACGGGAAATCCTCGAACTAAATGGGGATTTGAGTACCTACAATGATCTATAAGAATAAATGGTTCATTTTTCTATGTCTTCAATGACCCCGAGGGTAAATCTTGGAATCCAATCATCGATGATCCTTGAGCCCAGCTGGGAATCCACCCAGGTTCTCAAATTTTATGCTGGCGGTCACCGCAGGTGGGAATTCCGATCGGGACTTGTGGGTGGAATCCACGAAGTTGGTCGACAGAAAGATCCCCAAAAAAACAGGTCTAGAGGACCCCAGCATATTCTGATGGGCGAACTCAGAGGTGGGTACCCACAGCCATTGATGTCGATGATTTCCCCCATGATTTTCGTCAGATGTTCGGTGATGTCCATGGCCATATACCACAGCCGTACCGTTAAAGTACCGGGTCACACACATCCCTGATTTCAAAACGTAAGGAATCCGCGAGTCTCATGCTGTGTTTCAGGAAAATCATCGCGATTTTTGCGAAATCCCAAAAAGTTTCCGAACCATGTTCCACAAAAAATCATTGAAATCAAAATTGAAATCCCAAGAAATCATGGAAATTTGCCACAACAATCATTGTTGAAATCCCAATTTTCCCATATTTTGCTGGTGAAATATAAGGCGAAATCCCATATGATTTGCGACAGAAAATCATCCAGAAATCCCAAGAAATCAACATTTTCCCGAGGTTTCAGCCCCCGAGATGTCCAGCACTTTCGGGGCTTCGTTTCGGCCGAAGGTCACCTGAATTTCCCGGGATTCTTCGCCAAAGTGGGTGCCACTGCTGTGAGGCGCCTTCATCCGGTCATGGAGATAGGAAAAAAACAGTTTTTTTTTTGAACATGTTCAATCTATAAATCAAACTATCTTTCTATCTAGCAATCTATGTATCTATATATCTATCTTATCTTATCTTATTGTTTAAACTTATTTTATCTTATCTTATCTTTTCTATCAATCAATCAAACTATCGTTCTATCTAACTATCTATCTATCTATCTATCTAATTTATCTATCTATCTATCTATCTCTCTATCTATCTATCTATCTATCTTATCTTCTCTTATTTTATCTTATCTTATCTATCAATCAATCAAACTAACGTTCTATCTAACTATTTATCTATCTATCTACCTATCTATCTATCTATCTATTTATCGATGTATCTATTTATCTATCTATCTATCTATCTTATCTTATTTTATCTTATCTTATTTTATCTTATTTTATCTTATCTTGTCTTATCTTATCTATCTATCAATCAAACTATCTATATATCTATCTATCTAACTATCTATCTGTTTGCCTGTCTGTCTATCTATCTATCTATCTATCTGTCTGTCTGTCTCTCTGTCTTTCTATCTATCTATCTATCTATCTAACTATCTATCTATATGTTGTCTGTCTATCCATCTATCTATCTAACTATCTATCTATCGTTCTATCTGTCTGTCCGTCTATCTATCTGTTTATCTGTCTATCTGTCTATCTGTCTATATGTCTATCTATCTATCTATCTGTCTGTCTGTCTGTCTGTCTATCTAACTACCTATCTATCTGCCTTTCTGTCTGTTTATCTATTATCTATTTATCTATCTATCTACCTATCTATCCATCTATCTATCTATCTGACTATCTATCTATCTATCTGTCTGTCTATCTATCTATCTATCTACCTATCTATCTATCTATCTATCTGACTATCTATCTATCTATCTAACTATCTATCTATCTATCTATCTATCTGTTTTTCTTTCTTTCCTTCTACCTATCTATATCCATCCATCTATCTATTTATGTTTTCGAAAATCATATTGTTTTTTCATTTTTTCTAGGTGCCAGGTTTGGAGATGCCATGGTAATACATGGGAATATCCTTTAAATGGATATCAATTAATGGAGGTGTTTAGCTGGGAAAATTGTCAAAGTTAATTGTGGGATTTTCCAGCAAACTCAGCAAGCCATGTGACTGATGACACCGGAGGGTAAGTGGGGATGTTGCAATAGTGACGTAGAAAGGGGAACGACCCGAATTGATTTTGTTCGCTAGAAGAGGGGAGCTTGGAAGCAACTAGATGGATGATGAAACGTGGGGATTTAAGCAGCGGAACAAGATTCAACTAGTAAATATGGATGACTGATTGGTGGTTTGGAACATGAATTTTATTTTTCCATATACTGGGAATGTCATCATCCCAACTGACGAACTCCATCATTTTTGAGAGGGGTTGAAACCACCAACCAGATGAATATGGATGAACTATGTTTTTTTTCCTTTTCAAAAATAGGTCAATGATGATCAGGGGATCAGAAACATGATAACCCATCAATTCTGGGGATTTTGGATCGTATCACGTTAGTGCGGGTCATGCTTAGGATCATGTAGGATGGAATAAGAATAGATTAGATATATACTGTGAATGGATGGATAGATGGATGGATAGATGTATGGATGGATATGAACCCTCCGTCCAATCATTCTCCCATGTTTCTTATCTTGACCCAATATGTTTTTGAAGATCTTTCCCATACCAAAACGCAGGTGATGCAGACCGATCCATAGCTATGGATCACCGCGGAACTCTCCATACCCATTTTTCGAACCACATTCATATTATATCTTTGGCAAATACCTAAATGATCCTAAATGTGCCATAGAAACATATTATTGGTGGTCTCTTCAAACGAGGAATCCCCAAGTCACCATGGTTGTTTCAATACATTTCAGTGGTCTAGTGACTTGGATGATTCGGAGGTTTGGCTGTACCCCCATTTTAAGAAACCTCCATATAGAAATTTACAGTGTGTTTTTCCACCAAAACCATAAATTTATATATATATATATAGCCATATAATAATTACCATACAATACCACATACCTTTGGTAAATACTTGAATTTATTTGAATTTCTCATAGAAACTCACCGTTTTTGTTTTTCCATCCCAGGTTTCTTTCTCTTGGGCATTTCCCATAGACATGTCACGATCTTCGCGCGCCGCGACGCGACGCAAAAAGGTTGGCGAAGAGCATGAAGCCCAAACACATCGCCAGTACGCTGAGTGCCGTGAGCGCCGTGTCCGGCCGCGGCCGGGCCACTCAGGTGATCCCACGGTTATCCGAGTCTGTGGGTGATATCCCTTGTTTTGTGGGAAAAGTAGGGTTAATCTACTTACTACTAGTAGGGTTAAAACAACAACCACTTAGATGTAGTAACTTATAGCAAGGATGATAGAGATATAAGTGGTTTATAGCACGTACAAACTGACTGTTTAACGCCAGTATAGAAGTTTTAACTGTATAAAACATAGGGACTTAAATAACTATAGTTATACGCTCTGGTAAACTGGTACTGGTACATAGCTATTGTATAGATGGCCATTTAGTTCGTTGATTTACCCATTGAAAAATGGCGATTTTCCATAGTTATGTTAGTTTAATCACCCATATACAAAAAACAAAACAAAACACAAATGTGGATTTTAAGGAAACTAGTTACATGAGTTATTGCCCAGGATCACTGAAAAGTAGTTACAACAGAGTTATAACCCGCATAAAACTGGGATATAGTGTTTGTAACCCGTACAGAAGTGGGGATATCATGATATCCCATTTCTTTGACAGGGTTATACCTCAAAATTTGAGAAACAAATGATGTGAAAAAAATAAAAAACAATGAGTAATGAGTAGGGATAGTAGGAATAGGGCATGTATGGCATCTTTCTAGATTTCCTCAACAACCAGGGCCAATCGCTTGGACATCGCTTGGTTTCGCCATGGTTCCGCGGTTTCCCGCACCGACGTAGGACAGAGTCTTCCCGACCTGTCGTCTCTGTTGGACGTGGCCACGGTGCGGGGGTCAGAGCTGTGGATGAGCCAAGTAGAATGGTTGGTTTATAACTACAATTTCACGTTTGGGTTTATGGTAGATATATCCTGGTTGGTGGTTTGGAACATTTTTTATTTTTCCATATATTGGGAATAAGACTCCCAACTGACTACATCATATTTTTCAGAGGGGTAAGTCAACCACCAACCAGTATCGTTAGATGGGGTTATAAACCAACACAGATATACAAACATAACTAAGAGGCTATAGTCATGGGGGTGTCCATAATCATTGGAGATCCTGAATAGCTGGATAGTAAAAATATTACATGGAAGGTGAATTTATAAATGGAACAGGGGTACCCCTATGACTTTGGACACCTCCATATCTATACTTGGAGGATCAATCCAGGAATCGTAACTGCTTAGTGGTTAGTAAGCCCCCGATTGTTCTAGGGGTATCCCATTTGCAGTGAACTAAGCCCACTTACGAAGCAGTATAATATAGTGGGACGATCCTCCAAGTAATCCCTTCCCCCTTTCATGATAGACATCCCCCAGAAACCATGGTGGATGTAGGGTATGAAACCACATATTTTCAGCTATACAATGGGGGTGTTCCATATTGGAGGGAAGAGAGTACTTTTATCTCTTGTTATAATTGTTGTACTGAAAATGGGAGCAACAAGCTTAACACATCGTAAACCCTTTTGCTATAGCTAGTTGGCTGTCAAATGGAGGTGGACGGTTGTAATGTTTGGTTGACATGTTTCTTTCAGGTTTACCCCTTGTTCCTAGACTTGAAGTTTGTTCTTCCTCCATGAAGTAGAGTTGAATTTCTTGCTTCATAATATTTCTTAACACAAGAGTGAACCATTTTTCTTGAGGGATTGAGCGCTTGATACATATATATATAGTATATATATATATATGCATATGCATATTATATATAGATATAAATATATCCACTGTATCCCCATTGCATCACAGGGGTTGGTAAATGCCGTACTTGAACATCACCCAACAAAAAAAGGCCATTTTTCATCTCCAACAGATCATTTTTTTCAAGTAATGTGAAACAAATCTCCAAACCAGACCTGGAATGATGGTTTGTATTCGGAGAATCATCCCCTTAGCTGGCCGTATGATGACAGCTATGTTCAGGTGAGTGAATTAGCGTTCGTAGTTCAGCCAGAAAAACGGTGTTTTTTTTTGTGCGGCTTCAACGAGAATTCATGGGAGTGGTGATTTCATTGGATTATCATCCGATTATAATCCAATATGTCTTAAAAAAAAAAATCATTGGATTATCATCCGAATATCGAGAATTCAACTTGTATAAATCTCATAAAAAGCAGCCATATTTTTGTTGCAGAAAGATCCCATGATGTCACAGCTGCGAAATCCCACATTAAAATGAAAGCGCTAAATATGCCCAAAATGGGTGTGGGATTTCGAAAGTGGGCTTGAGTAATCTTACTGGTGCGTTTTACGTAGGGAATGGATGGGTTGCTGGGGGTTGCTGGGATTATTATTGATAGTTAGCCAGTGGATCATTCCCGCAAATTCCCTACGTTTAGCACAAGTCAGCTGGTTGGTGGTTTCAAACATTTTTATTTTCCATAATATATGGGATAATCCTTCCCATTGACTCATATTTTTCGGAGGGGTTGAAACCACCAACTATAAGTAATGGATCCTCTTGAAAAATGAAAGGCCATCCTCAGAGATGTGCAGAGCCCCTCCAGCGTTGCCAGGAGCAGGTTTTTCAGTTCCAGCCTCATGAGCTGGCCGCCACTGCCAAGGCGCCGAGTGATCGAGCGAAAGGAACGGGCTCCACCTGGAAACGTTACGGCGAAAACCATGGCGAAAAGATGGGGAAACATGGGGAACATATAGGGAAACATGCGGGATTTCACTAGGAATTATGGTGGATATCATGGGAAACCTACTGGATGACTACGGTTTTTGGTACACAAAGTGGGAAGATTTGGATGGGGAGGTTAATACTTTGATCTTTGGCCATATATGGGGATGCCCCAAATCTTTCCAGTATTTAGCAAGCAAAACATCCAAAATCATCCCGATTTCTTCCAAATCGCTCAAACATGTCTGACAACTTCATTCCAAAATTCGCAATTTCCCAGCCAGCTGCTGGTTTCAAACATTGTTTACCCTCCGGTAGTCAACCGTAGCTGGCTGGAAAAAACCTATAAATAGAGGTTTTACATATGGAAAATGAGACATCGAACTAAATAGATCTAAATAGTAGATGTTCCAGCCGTGGTTCACACCGGATTTTCAATCCTATTATTATTTTAAGGATGATGTGTCCAAAAAGTCCTGGGGCTCGGCTATCCAGCTATGACCCAACGCAACGCTTCGGTCCCTTCCCAACGATCCTACTACGGTCGGGTACCGGTCGGGTACCTTTGAGGCTGCAGCGAAACTACGTCCAGATCATCCAGGACTAGAGGGCTACTGGATGCCCACAGATGCCTTGGTGAATTGGATGGCTTATGGCATAGGGCTTGCCATGGTTTGCCACATCCATGATTTTTTTGATGATTTTAGATGATTGAAGTAGAAAATTGGAATCTAGTTCACCAACAGCAATCATTGAGATTTAAGCACGAAGTCACGAACTAGCTGATGAGTTGAACATCATGGTTTTAGCAGGGAATTTCCACATAATCGGGACCATTTAGGCTGGTGGTTAGTATTAGGGGGATGGGATGTTGCTGGATCTACACTTTTGGCCCTTAAGTGGTAAATGAATAGAACAAAGTATGAATGGAACTATGATATATAGGATTATCAATGGATCTACCAGTTATACTAGAACTATTGATGGATCTATAGGTAGAAGTATAGATGGATCTAGTTAGATTTATTCATGGATCTAGGTATTAGAGGTATTAGATCTAGTTTTTTTTGATTTGTTTTTGGATCTAGAACTTCTAGAACTATTGATGGTGGCCAAGTGATTTGCTTCGGAACTGTTTTTTCATGGTGATGGGACAATTTGGGGATGAAGATGTTGATCTATTTTGATATGGCTATGGAGTGCTATGGATCAATACCTATAACTGGTTGGTGGTTTGGACCATTTTTTTCCATTCAGTTGGGAATGTCATCATCCCCAACTGACTTTCATATGTTTCAGAGGGGTAGGTTCAAACCACCAATCAGATAACTATGGAGAATCACACTTTTTTTTAATGGGTAAACCAACTATAAATCACCGTTTTCAATAGCTATGTCATCCATTTTTGGGTTCATAGAATTGGATGATGAGAAAATTTACAGGAAAGCCCTATATTTGATGGTAAAAACCATGGTTTCCTGTAGATTTTCCCTTAAACCAATCCATTGATGGGTGGATGAACATCCATAATTCCCGCATATCCCAGCTATGACTTTGGAACCCCAGCTCTTTGCGGCGTTTGATTCAGATCCATGGAACATGGGCCACATATTTACTTGGCGTTGTTAATTCATATGCCCATATGCCTTTTTGGGGTTTGAAAAGTTTTTTCTCTTCTCTGCGCGATGTTTTGCGTGGCAGGCACAGCACTTCGTACTTGGCTCAAGTATGTCATGTGTTTGACTCTGGTTGCTGGCTGAGCTGATCCAAGAATTGCAATGGAAAAGGGTATCTAGATTTTATGACTAAGATGGCTCAAGTTTTGAGGCTCAAATTTAAATACCAACAGCGAGAGTGTCAAAAGAAAAAATGGGTGGTGGTTTGGTGGGGGAATTATATATAGGCTCAAGTCTTAAAGACCGACCATAACAGCGAGAGTGTAAAAAAAGGGTGGTTGTTTGGTGTGGTAATTGCTCAAGTCTTAAGGACCGACCATGGCCAACCGAAAAAAAAGGGAAACTGGTGGTAAAGGTGGGCAACTGGTGGAGCTGTGGGCAGAATGACTGGATGACTGGATGACTGGACGCTATGGGTTGTGCCACCCAAACATTATGAGGTTTTAAACTTAACCAGTGTGGGGCAGGTAAATTTTGGGATGACAATGGTGATACTTGAACATGATTCAATTTAGTTTGATTTAACTCGTTTCACTAACATGTGATAAACATCACCATAACAAAAATAAGAAATATTAAAGTAAGAAGTAATCAACACTAAAAAGTGATGATAATAAATAGTAATATATAATAATAACAATAATAACAATAGTAATGATAGTAATAATAATTAAAGATAATCCATGAACAACAACTAACAACAACACTGAACCATAAACCATGAACCGTGAACCATGAACCATGCACCATGAACCATGAACCATGAACCATGAACATGTTTTCAGTGATGGTGGTCTTACCCCTCACTTTTTTCATATTTTTCATTTTTTTGAGAAGAAGGTCTTACCCTTCGTCGCTTCATTTGTCAATCCTCTGGTCTTCACCAGGTGGAGAAGAACTCCTGGTTGCTACAGTGCCACATCAATGAACAACAACAATAATTTTATGAAACAACAACACTGAACCATGAACATTTTTTTCAGTGATGGTGGTCTTACCCCTCACTGTTTTTTTTCATATTCATTTTTTGAGAAGAAGGTCTTACCCTTCTTCGTTTCATTTGTCAATCCTCTGGTCTTCACCAGGTGGAAAGGACCTCCTGGTCTTCACCGGGGGGGGGGGGCAGGGCGTGCCCAAAAATCACCGCACGATGCTGGGAGATAGTTTCAGTGGGACAGCTGCTGGTTAGACAGTTTCAGTGGGAGATGTTGGGCTTAACGCTCACCATTTTTGATCGAAAAATCCATGATTTTTAGTGTTTTTTCCCATTAATTTGGTGTTTTTTTGCCCTTGGCTTTGTGCCATCAATTCAGTGGACCCGATCTCTTCTTTAGATTTTTTGGGCCCATGTTATGACTCACAGCTGCTGGTTGGATAGTTTCAGTGGGAGATGTTGGACTTAACGCTCACCATTTTTGATCGAAAAATCCATGATTTTTAGTGTTTTTTTCCATTAATTTGGTGGTTTTTTGCCCTTGGCTTTGCGCCATCAGCTCAGTGGACCCGATTTCTTCTTCTTCAATTTTTTTAGGCCCATGTTAGGCTTAAGTCCCACTACGTTTCATTGATAAAACCTTGTCTTTCCAACCAGCAGCTGTGAGTCATAACATGGGCCCATAAAAATCTGAAGAAGAGATCGGGTCCACTGAATTGATGGCACAAAGCCAAGGGCAAAGAACCACCAAATTAATGGGAAAAAACACTAAAAATCATGGATTTTTCGATCAAAAATGGTGAGCGTTAAGTCCAACATCTCCCACTTTTGAGTTTTTTCTCCATGTGTCTATCATCGGCGACATTTTTAAAACAAGTCTGCGCTATGAGTGTTTTTTTTGCTTCCTTTGCTGGTGATGGTGGTCTTACCTTCATAGTTTTCAGCCGGTCTTGTCCCAAGTAAAGTAGACCTGAAGTTGTGCAAGCGTTTTAGCCGGTCTTGCCCCAAGTAAAGTAACTTGAATTTCGGAAATCTTTTGGTTTCAAGTTTCATTTTTTGTTTTAACTGTTTTGTTGTTTTAAACGGTTGGGTTTAACTCACAGGGAGTTGGCCCCCCGGTTCCCTGAACAGGACTGGTGCGACTGAGTTCAAAGGTTGGGCCACAGCTTCTTTGACCTTCGGCTGCAATAACTAGTGCAAATCTGGTCGGCAACAATATAACACGGAAAGGAATAAAATATATCTATATCTCGTTGACATGTATGCGGTTAACGCTCCAGTTTTTGCATGGTTTGCCATATTTTTCCACGGTTGAATTTTGAAAAACAGCAACTAGGAGCTGGTGGTGGGCCCCCCCGGTCACTTGCTAGGACACTTCGATGGAGGCTGCTGTGAGGCTTCGGCGATTGGGAAGCCCTGGAAGGCTTGAGTTTCGCGCTTTCAGAACGAATTGCCCAGATCTGGCCGATGCGTTTGGGAAACACATCGATTGGTGGAGGGACGCCGGGTCGCGTGAGATTCTGATTTACGATCTACTAACAATGGTTGATGCTTATCCAGAAAAAATAGAAATCATACAACGAGGATTGTTCTTCGGTCACTATATTTGCACGTGGGCAACTCCCGTCCATTTGGATCCCTATCTCTACGTGCTACTGGATCCAGAAGAAAGCTTTTTCACAGTGTTAGTCTTCAGGGACCAGCGCCGACTTCAAAGAAACAGGTGGTCATAACAACAACCAGGACTGGTTTAGGGGAAAAAATGACAACAGCGCTGAGTTCCAAAGTTGTTCAAGCCTTTTTGAAGGTATTTAAGGGAAAAAAGGGTCCAACTTGGCGACCATAAGGTCTTCCACTCGAGCTTTCTGTTGCCACGCTTGTAGCTGGTTGACCTTGAAAGCAAGGTCAACCAGCTACAAGCGGAGCAACAGAGAGGCTCGAATGGAAGACCTTATGGTTGCCAAGTTGGACCTTTTAAGGGAAAAAAGGTTCCAACTTACCGACGCCCCCTTCGGTAAGTTGCCGGGGTGCCACGCTGTCAGGACTGGCGTCTCCAACGCTGTGGGCATTGAAGCTAAGGTTTCGGAGGAAATGGGCAGATTTCCATCTAGAGAACCCACCAGGCCTGGTGGTCTTACCCCGGCCGGACTATCCTGGTATAGTTTGTACAGATTACCAGTCCTGGTGGTCTTACCCCGGACTACCCTGGTGTACAAAACGGTCCTGTTAGTTTTGTATAGATTTTAATTTTATGCGCTGAAGAACCAGAATGGCCTAGCAAAAAAAAAACGCATTGGGGATAGTCATTGGTTGGGAACAACATTTGACCATGTGGCATAAATGACACGGTTGTTTTTTTTTAAACGTTATTTGCACCGACATGGCTGAAACTGCGAGTGTTTCATGCGTGGTAGTTTGGGCTCGTTCATGCTTCATGTGTTTGACTTTGAGTTGAGAAAATAACAGTAGCATGGGCAGACATAAGTAAACACATACATGGACTGGAGCACCGTTTTAGTTTAGCACATACCATGTACCCTGAGCATTTCACTATTATAATGCCCGCTTATGATAGTCGAAAATAACCTCCAGCACAGAATCCAGTGTTCGTTGCGCCATGTCGTGGTGGTCGTCCTGGTCCTCCTGGTCCTGTTCCGAGCGCCCGTGGCGTGGCCAGGATTGGGATGATGGTGACAGTCGTCAACAGTGGGGCGAGGGCAGCGGGTCTTGGCAGTCCTGGCGGTCTCACTCCGGATGGGCCTCCGGATCCGCGGGTAGCGCCGGAAAAGGCAAAGGGAAGGAGGAGTCAGAACCGAAGAGGCTTCGTCATGAGCAGGCCCCGACCATTGGATTTGACATAGAAAAGGAGGACAAAGAGTACGTGTATGCGTATGTCCCTTGGGTCATGAGCGACTACAAGAACCAATGTTTGAGGCCAGTCATCGCGGACATTGAAGAAATGGGTTGCACTTTCAAGATGAAGGTCATAAA